CCGTTTGGGCTCGCCCTAAGCCCAAGGACTTTTTCTCTGTGTGTGGAGGCAGGCTTAGCTCCTCTGAGAATGTCAGGTCTGCGGATTTTGACATACTTAGACGATTGGCTCATCATAGCCGAATCGAAGATGAAAGTACTGCAGGACACCCGTCGTGTGCTCACTCACATCACATCTCTCGGGTTCAGGGTGAATTTGAACAAAAGCAACCTTACACCCAGTCAGAGTGTGATTTTCCTGGGCTTGGAGCTGAGCTCAGTCTCCATGCGAGCGCGTCTCTCTCAAGAGTGCGTTCGCTCTCTAATGAACTGTGTGTCACAGTTCAGAGAGGGAGCGAAAGTGCAATATCGCACATGTCTCAGACTGCAGGGTCTAATGGCTTCATCTATCCAGGTTTTGCCTCTGGGACTTCTGAGAATGAGGGCGTTCATGAAATGGGTTTTGTCACTACATTTCAGCCCGTTATGCGATCTCTGCCGCTCTGTAACAGTGACGCGCGCCTGCACGGCAGCTCTGCACCACTGGAGGAGCACGGGCTTTTACGCACAGGGAACCCCTTTGGGGACGGTGATGTTGCGGAAAGTCGTGACGACAGATGCGTCCCTAACAGGCTGGGGTGCCACCCAGGAGGGCAGAACGGTGAACGGTTTGTGGCCGAGCAGACTACGTTCAGCGCACATAAATTATTTAGAGCTTATGACCATATGGAAAGCTCTGAATTATTTTCTGCCTCGCCTGCAGGGGCATCATGTGCTCGTACGCTGCGACAATACCACAGCGGTAGCATATATCAATCGCCAGGGCGGTTTGCCCTCATTGAAACTTCACGCTCTAGCTCACAATCTTTTAGTGTGGAGCAGGCGGTTTTTCCTGTCCTTACGCGCGACTCATGTTCCAGGCATTCTGAACAGAGGCGCGGACCTTCTATCAAGGGGGAATCCACTCTACGGAGATTCACTCCTCCACCCTCAGATAGTGGGCTTGATATGGATGAGATTCGGACAGGCAACCGTAGATTGTCCTATGTTCTTCTCACTAAAGGACGTGGACGCACCCCTCGGGGTCAAACGCACTGGCCCACCCATGGCCCAAAGTGCTGCTGTATGCTTTTCCTCCCCTGTGCCTGGTAACTCCAACACTGGCCAGGGTGAGAGAGAAGGGCCTGTCTCTCATTCTGATAGCACCCAGGTGACCCAAAGCACCGTGGCTGGCAGAGATAATTCCTCTGTTATATGCCCAGCCATGGCGCCTCCCCCTCTGCACAGATTTATTATCTCAAGCGAACGGGGAGATTTATCACCCACACCCGGACAGGGTGGCTCTCTGGGCCTGGCCCGTGAGAGGACAAACTTAAACCGCTAGGGCTTCCCCCGCGTGTGGTTGCTACTATGCAGAATGCCAGGGCCGTGTTTACTCGGTCCTTATATGGCTGTAAGTGGCAGGGGTTTGAAGGGGGGAGTCATGGGCGTCGTCTCACATCATATCAGTTCCTGATATTTTGTGTTATTTACAAGACCTTATGGATAAAGGCAGGTCTTTTTCCACCATTAAGGTCTACCTGGCGGCTATTTCTGCTTGTCATGTGGGCTTTGAGGGCTCAACGTTCGGGCAGCATCCTCTAATCCGCAGATTTATGAAGGGTGCCCATCGTTCTTTGCCAGTTATCAGGAGAACTGTTCCTAAATGGGACCTCTCCATGGTGCTGGAGGCTCTGTCTCAATCCCCTTTTGAGCCCCTGGGAAGTATTTCCCTGAAGCTGCTGTCCTTCAAGACAGCTTTGCTCTTGGCCTTGGCTTCAGCTAAACGTGTCAGTGAGCTTCATGCACTCTCGGTTCATTCCTCGTGCACCAAATTCTCTCTTAGTGGAGATAAGGTTTTTCTTAAGCCGAACCCGGCTTTTTTGCCTAAGTGCTTCCCTACATTTACATCGGAGGTGTTGAAGCTGTCTGCTTTTCACCCTCCACCTTTTTCTTCCACTGAGGATCAGAGGCTGAATGCTCTGTGTCCAGTTCGTGCATTACAGACGTATATGACTAGGACCAGTGCTTTCCGGAGGAGCGACCAGCTCTTTATTTCATGGGCGACCCCGCACAGGGGGAGTCCCATATCTAAGCAACGCCTTTCACATTGGCTTGTGGAAGCTATTGCTTTGGCATATGAATCGATGGGTGTGCAGCCCCCAGGGAACATCAGAGCTCATTCCACGAGGGGCTTAGCCGCCTCTTGGGCCTTGTTCAGGGGAGTGTCGCTGCAGGACATCTGCTCTGCTGCCAGCTGGGCCTCTCCCCATACGTTTGTGCGTTACTACCGACTGGATGTCACCAAAACTTCGGTAGCACATTCTGTTTTAGGGGTGGGGTCTTCATAGCTCCTTGTTACCTACCTCTCTTCCTTCCCATTTACACATTGTAGTAAAGGAACGAAGGGTGAGTGGGCCATCGGGCCACGCACATTCGTGTCACCAAGCATGCATTTATTTTCCTGCCTGGATGTTTCATATGTGTTGCTGGATTTATTTACATGTGTGGGCCTCATACATGTTTCATGTCCTGCCTGTGCACAGCAGTCATGTGTGTGTGTGTCAGGATTGTCAGGTGCATGATTATGGGATGTGTCAGGCACCGCCCCTTGGGGTGACCGTCCTTCTCTGGTTTACAGAACCTCACTGTGAGTGTATTGGGCAATCGGGGAGCTGTCCATGTCTCTCCCATAGGTGGATCTCGAACACGAGATGATGAAGCTCTTGGCCTTGGCTTCAGCTAAACGTGTCAGTGAGCTACATGCACTCTCGGTTTATTCCTCGTGCACTAAATTCTCACTTAGTGGAGATAAGGTTTTTCTTAAGCCGAACCCGGCTTTTTTGCGTAAGTGCTTCCCTGCGTTTACATCGGAGGTGGTGGAGCTGTCCGCTTTCTGCTTGTCATGTGGGCTTTGAGGGCTCAACGTTCGGGCAGCATCCTCTAATCCGCAGATTTATGAAGGGTGCCCATCGTTCTTTGCCAGTTATCAGGAGAACTGTTCCTAAATGGGACCTCTCCATGGTGCTGGAGGCTCTGTCTCAATCCCCTTTTGAGCCCCTGGGAAGTATTTCCCTGAAGCTGCTGTCCTTCAAGACAGCTTTGCTCTTGGCCTTGGCTTCAGCTAAACGTGTCAGTGAGCTTCATGTTACAAGCTGTTCGTGCATATATAAGATCTGTAATGTTCTCAAACCCAAAGAGATGTTCTTTATAAAAGTTGACTCGTCCATGCCTTCCAAAAACACCTCATTCAAACACGCCCCCACATGTCTACGTCACTGTGTTGCAAGATTTGCATAACACCGGCCAAATGTTTACGCAAAGAAAAAAGGCGTAACTTTTATTCTCGCTGTAGTATTGTTGCCGCCGTCGCCGCCATGTTGTGGAAACACTGTGTTTCCAAATATGGTAAGAGGCGTAACATTTCCTTCACATGCTTGAGGTATTAGGCCAATCACAATGCACTGGATAGCTGGCCAATCAGAGCACACCGCGCTTTTCAGAACGATGAGCTTTGTAAAAATAGATAAATTTGTATAGACTGCAATAATAATATTAATAAAGATGTAAACACATTGCATTACACCAAATACAAATAATAGTAATGTATTATTTTAAGTCATTCTGTGGTCCCATTGTTGGCTTCAGCCCCAAAACCACTAATATAGAGATCATGTTATTTAACAAAGTCAAAATGAATCGGCATTCATAGCTCATTTTATTTTTGCAATGCGATACTTCTGAGTGAAACCGGATATTCTATGAGAAAAAATCTAGAGTGTGCCTTTATTTGATTGGGCTGTAAAATGTCATTCTTTTTACAGGAGGTCAAAATGGAAGATTTGGAGAGAAAAAAAAAACGTGTGACATGAGCTAAAAGAACAAGCTATTTAATTTTGATTGCGAACACTTTTTTTTTTCATTCACATAAAACCAGAGAGGTGTAATAATAAAGAAAATTGCTTCAATTTTGATTCCAAGTTTACATTTAAGGTAAAGGAAATATATTAAGTTTACTACCAGTGATTGTTCCACATTTATTTATTTTTTTAAGTATTAAGCATCTGTAGTTAAAACACAGGTGAAATCCTACATGCCAACAGTGGTTTAGCTTTCAAGTCTAACTGTCATATTCAGGTAATAAAACTAATTTACTATGCCAATGCTATTAAAATTACACTGAATAGTCACAACCCCAAACATTTCACGCCTCCACTATTTAGCAAGACACAAGGAAAATAAAAACTAAATAAATAATGCTAAAACCAGAGCTCAAATACATACGTTTACAGCAAGGTAGGCTTTTGCAGCTCCTCTTGCCTTTTAGACTATTTTAGACTCCAAAAATCTTCTCCATGTAAACAATTTTGAAATAACACACTATCAGCTTTGTGCGAGTTAGAGCACTGTGCGTTGTTAGTCTCTTTTGGACCATACAGAGTAGTAAACTGGCAGCTTTGGAACATGCCATACTTGAAGCATGAAGCAAGCCACCACAAGCACATCATCTGGACAATCAAACTTATATAATGTATTCAGACAGTTTTCAGATACATTATGATATATGATTGACAGCATCAGGGTTTGGTACAGGTTTAGTGATCATGATTAACTTGTTAAGCTTGATTTCACTGATGATGGATCTTCACAGCTATTTTGTGTTAAAGCAAAGGCAATAGTCTACAGAGAGCATTACTCACTCTCTCACCAAGCATAGACGTCAAACCCTTGAAAAGGTGTTGCTATCCTGTTTGTTTAACATAGAAGTTGCTAGAAATTGCAATACTTCTGTCTAAAAGTTTAACCTTTAAACTCTGATTCACATTTGCTAACACAGATCTGCGTCCAAGTCACATTTGGAAAAATTAACCTTTAAAGGGGTCCTATTATGCTTTTTCACTTTTTCAATTTAGTTAGTCTGTAATGTTGCTGTTTGAGCATAAAAAAGATCTGCAAAGTTACAAAGCTCAAAAATCAAGACTTTGTAAAAGCGCATAATAGGACCCCTTTAATCTACAGCATACTAATGAACAACCTTAAGAGAACCTTTCAAAAATGTCTATGCTGCGTTAGACATCTCATCAGTGAATTCAGCCATAATGTCATGAAGCCAAATGTCCCGTTCCTCTTGTGAAGTGTCCACCAAGAAGATAACCACCTTACAGTCCCAGGGCTGTGACGCCTCCTGCACCGATTCCAGCTGGGCTACCAGGGGCTTCTTCTCGACGTGGTTCCTGAACACAATGGAGGCCTCCTCAGACCACTGCCTGGGTTTCACGCCTGGAAAGATCAGAAACACCTTCAGATCTACAATAAAATCATACATGAACTTCTCAAAGTAGCAAAATGAAAAGGAGCAGCTGTTTGAGATCAGTTCTTAGCTACAGCTTATACCATGTGGCCCATATGAGTCAGGGACTTTGACCAGGAGGGATAGTCAAAACAGCACACAGTCTGTAAAGTACTTTGGTAAGCGATCTGAATGTGGAAGAGTTATATTCAGTCAGATCTCTCCAAAAGCAATTTCTTTTCAGGAGTTGTTCTCCTTTAGCTGAATTTTATTCAAACATGTATTATTTATTTCACTCATTCAGATCAAAAATAACTTGATTACACTTTTTCAACTTCTTCATTTATATACACTAATAACAAGATATATATTTTTTTATTGTATTTTACTGTATTCTATTTTTTAATGGAAGGTCACTTTGCTAAACTGTGTTTTGTGTTTGTGTGTGTCTTTTTAAATACTGTTTAAAAGTTTGGGGTCAGCAAGATCTTTTCATGTTTTTGAAAGAAGTCTCTCCGAGGCTGCAAATCAACAGTAATATTGTGAACTGAAATATACAATTATTTCATTTCATATATTAATGTATATTAAAATGTAACTTACTGCTGTGATGGCAAAGCTAATCTTTCAGAAATAATTATAATATTCTGATTTGATGTTAAAGATTTTTTTTTAAGTTAATATCAATGTTGAAAACTTGTTGAAAACTATTCTTAAATATGAAATAGAATATTTTGTAGCATAAATGTGTTTAGTAATAGAGTCTTTCTGGCTCTTTCAAATGGAGCTTATTGGATATTGTTGATGAAACATTAACAAGAACTGGATCATAGAAAAATTCTCTGATCCGAAGTAGCTGATTCTCTGAAATGAAGTAGCTGTCTAAAACAGCCTTTTCAATAAATGAAAGAGCCTTTCTAACAGGAAATGAAGTGTACCAGCCAGCTGAGCAGTGATGGCCTGGAAGGGGAGCTGGCAGAACTCCTGGGTGAGGGGCCGGAGCTGGGTGCAGCTCACCAGCTCATGTTTGCCATAGTCCAGCTGAAACACTGACACCAGACCATTGGTCAGGACTCCTTTCACCAGTACACGGTACCAGCTGTAAAATCACACAGATGATAAGTGGTCATATGGCCTCATAAAACACATCATATGGCCCAAGCCTCTCAGTTCCAGCTCAGTTTAGCTCAAGCCCCAATTCGAAACATTTGAAACAGCTAATAAGGTCTTCAGGATCATTAGAAACTTCCAGGCAGTTATTTTGGAGCTAAACTCCACAGGAACTCTGGCCCTTTACGAGCAGAATTGAAACCCCCTGACCTAGACACATATACGAAAGCACGCTTACTTGTTTTCCACCTTGGCAGCACAGACCTGGTTCTTCTCCACTTTAAGTGGTTTCTCCTCCATCTTATTATAATGCAGAATCATCTCCCCCATCAAATCCACCAGTTTGTACATATCATGCCATGGCTGTAGCACAAAGTGCCCAGGATGGCATGCCACTGAAACAAACACGTCCAAATTCTGCCCAATCTTGGGCAGCTCCAGCAGTGGCGGAAGAGCCAGCTTTTCAGGCGGAGAGCCGGGAGGTGCACTCTGGCTCCCCAGCGGGGATGACATCCTCTTGGGTGTGTGTGGGGCTTTATCCTGTCCATCAGTGCTGAGGCTGGAGGTCTGGATGGTGGCAGGGTTTGTCGGGGCGTTGAGGGATTTTGAGGGCCCCCGGCTGCTTAAGAAAACATCCTTCTGGTGGTTCCACAGATTAGAGTCGGCCAGCTGTTGGTTTAAACTGCAGCTTGTGTCGTGGAAGTTCTTGCTGGTGAAGAGATAAACATGAGCGAGGCGTTTGGGCTCATCCACTTTAGCTATCTAGAAAAACAAAAGCAACTGTTTTTAGTGCTTCTTTTCTGCTATTGTTAAAGGGATAGTTCACCCAAAAATGATAATAAATAATCCATGTGACATCAGTGGTTCAATCGTAATTTTACAACGCTACGAGAATAATTTTTGTGCGCGAAGAAAACAAAAATAACGACTTTATTCAACAACTCGTCTCCTCTGCGTCACCCTGGCGCCATTTTGGAGAGTATCCACTGAACGTAAACAACATATGCTGTTCTGTGTCAGCCGCTCCACACGGATACGCTGTTTTCATTCAGATCAAAGTGCAAACAATGTAGACAACATATCCATGTGGCGTAGCAGACACAGAACAGCCTACACTGTTTACGTTCAGTGGATACTCTGCAAAATGGCGCTAGGGTGACGCGGAGGAGACGAGTTGTTAAATAAAGTTGTTATTTTTGTTTTCTTTGCGCACAAAAAGTATTCTCGTCGCTTCGTAAAATTACGGTTGAACCACTGATGTCACATGGATTATTTTACAGATCTCCTTGCTACGTTTCTGTGCCTTGATCGTGGTAGTATCTTCGCTGTATATATGGAGGGTCAGAGAGCTCTCGGAATTCATCAAAAATATCTTAATTTGTGTTCCGAAGATGAATGAAGGTCTTATGGGTTTGGAACGACATGAGAGTGAGTAATTAATGACA